GGGCGCGCAGGAAGCGGGGGCCGTGCGGCACTGCCGGGACCGGGGAGCCCACTCACATCCGCGCTGCTGGGGACTCTGCTGGCATTATTTTTAGCCGATTAGCTGTGCGTTACCTTTGAGAGATGACGCGCAGGGAGGACAGAGAGGGAGTCAGGTAGCGCGGCTTCCCGTTACCATGTTGTCACTAGTAACTACGTGACCTTGGACATTGACCATTGACCTTTACCTGCCTGACCTGTACTGCTCAGAGACTCAGTTTCCTGATCTGTACAATGAAAATTCGCTGTCCTCCTGTCTCATCATGGAGGGTGGTCGCTGGACTCAAAAGAGGTGACAAATGAAAGACGGTGGTCAACTGGAAATACCCGCGTTTACCGATCACAAATGCATTACTCCCCCCTGAAAAGACACTTCCTGGTTTATCCTGACGTCATTCCCTTAGGATGGCCCGTCCACGCGGGGTGGAGGCAGGGCTGTGACCAGGGCTTGGGAGGTCGGAAGGAGGGAGAAGTTGAGAGTCTTGGAGTAGATGGGGGACACATTCTAGATTTCTAGAGTTTGCTTAACTGAATCCTGTCGGTCCATCTTCTCTGCTTCTGTCCCCACGTTCCTCTCCGAGAGTCTGTCCATCGGGACGCTGGTGCTGGTGAGGCCGTGATGGGACATCGCCAAGGAGCCGAGAAAGAAGAAGGGGGACAGCGGTGAAAAACTAAACTCTGGTGTGAGAGGTTGTGACAGGACAAGCGGCAGGTTCGGGAAGCCAAGGAGAGGGCGGCCGATCTACGGTGTGGCGTGACCCCAGGAGCCTGCTGAGAGAGGGTGTCACTCACCAGGCAGCCTGGTTGGCTCATCTCAGGTCAAAAATCCACAAGTGAGGTCGCCTGGCTCCACCCAACTGTGCCCGTTTCTAAGAAGCATCCTTTCTCCATCGCACCATGTTGTGCAAGTTTGCCTACGTTGGAGGAAGTCTGGTGGTATTCACAAACAAACAAGCACAAACACCTTCTCTGCATGAAGATTCTGAAGGAGCCTTGATTATCATCTCTCTAAGGAGGTAATACTCCTCTTCAGGACCCACTAATTCACTCCTTTTATGCCAGAGCCCCCTCCCTGGTCTAAGCCTTTATATTCTTACATTAAGGCACTCCCCCGCCCCCTCCACCCGGCCCTGTCACTGGGATGGCGTTCCTGAGGCTGCCCTCTCTCCTGTCCTGTGCACAGACATTCTCAACACTCCACCAGGTCAGTGTCCACAGGCCACGGGGGTCTGTCACCCTCCTTTCACTCTCCCTCAACCTTCCGAACATTCTCCCACGTTCACCCAACCACACTCCATCTCTGTTCTGATGTCCTGAGGTGCTGGTAGCTATGGGCACAAGGAGTAAACAGAACACAGCCCTGGGAGTCACAAGATCTTAGTTCAACTGCCAACTCTGCCATGAGTAGTTGTGAACTTGAGCAAGGTCAGCGAGGTCTGAGAGCCTCCGTTCCTTTGTCTCTCACATTGACCAGTAGGCGTGACCTGTGGCATGAGTGATGTGCTTGATTCCTGAGAGCCTGGGATGTGCAATGCATCTGCTTGTCGTCTACAGAGGCTTCTGACCTGGAATACGCTCTTCTCCTCCCCAGCGCCATTGAGATGTCATTGACATTTATCTTATTTAAGTCTAAGACATGATATTGGATATGTGTGCACATCGGGAAATGGCTACCACAATAAGGTTAGTGAACACACCTGTTGCTCACATAGTTACCATATTTTGTGAGTCGTGAGGACTGGTAAGACCTACTCTCTTGGCAAATTTCAATGCAGTATTGTTAACTACAGTCACCATGCTGCCCGTTAGATCCGTACAAGCTTCCAGGGTGAAGCCCTTTTGCTTAAAAAGAAAACCCATGTTGAATGCCCTTAGTTCTAGAACCTTCAGATCCTTTCTGGCAGATGCCTTTGCTTCTGAGGCTCTGAGAGTGTGACTGTTCCCTCTCAGACGTGTCTGCTTGCAATCAGCACAGACCCCGTCTCCCCCTGCCCCTCTTCCCTGCACACCCTGTGTGTCTCTCCTAGTGAAGAGTCCCTCCTGGAGGAGCTGTTTGGAGCCCAGGAGCACAACACTTGGAAGGAGGTTCTGTGAGTACAAGCTGGGAAATGTGGGCCCGGGATCAAGAATGATCGCCTCCAGCGCAGTCTAGACTGTGGAGCGAGGCTCCAAGGGGAAGTGGTGGCAGGACACTCCCTGAGTCAGTGCGCCTTTGAGCCGGGACCCAGGCTTGGAGCAGGCAGCTTGCGCCAGAGTCAGGAGCACTCTCCAGCTGGCGGCCGGGCACGGCAGGCTTTACTGGGCCAGCTCCAGTCTCCTGTTCCTTTGAATCTTTCCCTTGTCTTGCATTGTAGCCGGCTCTGGATTTCCTCTGTGCTGTTCCTCTGGAAGATTTAGACGAAATGGGGGAAGCCATTCCTGGCCGGGTTCTTTATTTAAGGGCCCAGCCTTTAAGTTCTAGGCTCCATAGAAATGCAGGAACCCAGAGCACAGGGCTCCACCCTCTGCTAGAAGTCTGGTATCTGGCAGAGCTCACAGAACCCACCCCTGCTCCATTGTGTGTCTTGGGGACAAAGTCTGTGTCATTTCCTTTCAGCGTGAGGGGCGGAGAGGTCAGGAAGACAGGTTTAATTATAGTGTCTGCTACCTCACTCTAGAGGCCAGACTTCCCCCAGCCTATTTCTTCAGCTGCAGAAAATACCTCGGAACATTGCATGGGATGGAATCCCAGATGCCATTATTTTACGCTCTTCTGAGAGAGAGGAAAGAAAATGTTGCCTATGAGACTGCCACACCACTGACAGTAAAATACATCCTGACATCAGAGGGGTTAAAGTGTTAAAAAGGAAAAAAATGTGTCTTCAAACGTGGGCCCTGTCTCACAGGGTTTCTGTGAAGATTCATTAAGATCATGCACCTGAAAGTGTTGTGCAAACTGTCAAGTCCTTAGCTGCACTGTGACAGTGAATAGAGGCAGCCCAGTGCCATGGACCAGCCTGGGTTTTGGGATCAGCCCATCCTGGTTCACATTCCTGCAATATCACCTCCTCGCTGCGGGTCATAGGCAGCATCCTTTCCCCTCGTGGGTCTCAGTGTTCCACTCTGTAGAATGGGAAGAAAGATGCCTATGCTGCTTCCTCACAAGTGAAACGTCACAGTGTATACAGGACATAGTTCCACAAAAATATTTATTCACCTCAAACTCATCTGCCTCTCTGTATTTTTATTATTATTATTATTATTATTGTTATTATTATTGATTTCAGAGAGGAAGGGAGAGGGAGAGATAGAAACATCAATGATGAGAAAGAGTCATTGATCAGCTCCCTCCTGCACGCCCCATACTGGGCATCAAGCCCACAACCCAAGCATATACCTTTAACCAGAATCAAACCCAGGACCCTTCAGTCCGCAGGCCAAGGCTCTATCCACTGAGCCAAACCAGCTCGGGCTGCCTATCTGTATTTTTATTTGCTAAATCTGGCAACCCTCTGGAAGCGCACGGGTCAACCAAGGTAAGCTGTCAAGTGCTCTGAGTCAGATGAATGAGGCCTGGGGTTGCACCGGGCAGACCTGAAGGTGAGTCCACAGGGACCTGAGGCCAGAGATCCTCACTGGCTACCCGTGGGGGGCTACAGTCAGTGGGTGGGGGTTCTGGGAGGCGGTACGGGGAGTCTGGGAGATGCACAGGCCCAGACACTGCTTCTTGGCCGAAGGCTTGGGTGGCAGGCGGTGCTCAGATGCTGTCTTTTGAAAATGCAGAAGCAACAGACTCCAAATAAATGCCTTAAAAAAATGAAGATGACTAAGAGTAATAGCAGGAAGAAGGAGGACTCCGGAGTTAAGTGAGAAAGAACATACCCCAGTGTTTTTCAGCGAATGAAGGAAAAGCTGTAACTTATTCATTTGTTATTTTTGTAAGATTTTCAAATGCATGATTTTCTTTCCCTATTCCGTCTCCACTTTTGGTATCCACAGAAATGTCTCTCCTCCATTGTAAGCGACTTCTTTTTGCAAACGGAGTCTCAGGCCACACCGAAATTGCAAATGTCAAGTTCATTCCTCTGGTCCCGGGTCCCACTGGAGAGAGTCCCAGGTCAGCTCTGGGCTTCGTCCTCAATGCCACCTTGTTCCGAGGAGAAGGCAGAGCTTGTGTGGCGCTTGGCTGGTTGGGGCTTTCGGGGTTGCTAAATTCGGGTCTTTGATATTTGACCGTGTTTCTGAGTTATTGAAATAGCCTTGGGTTCGGGTCAGTAGGAAATGAATGGCATTTGTGTTCTCAGAACACACTCATTCCTGTGAATCAGGTAGCCTCGGGTTAGGGTTCCTGGTTTACCAGTGAGACCGAGTCCCAGGGATTGAAAATGCCAGCCCTCGCTCTTGCCCTTGGTTGGTGAGAGCTGGACTGGGCCCTGCTTCCCCGCCCCCCACACTTCTGCCCCAAGTGCTGCTGGACACTTCAGTTACACCATCAGGGCCTCCATGGAGTCGTCTAGGAAACACGAGGAGTATTGCCCATTTGCAGGGCTATTTGTGGAGATCGTGTGAAATAATATGTATGGAGGGTACATAATATGTATGTATCGGTCCTAGCAATTCTTATGTATTTCGTTAGGTTATTGGCAGAACTGGGAGAAGAATCTCAATCGTTTTAGATGAAGCCTTTCTTCCCCATTTTCAGAACGTGCACCCTTGTGTAGGCAGGAGAATTGGCTTTCCAAGGTGAGTCTTGTTCTATGCTGAGACCTCTAGCCCTTCTCTGCAGTCAGGGGGCAGCTAACACTTTGGGGGGCCCCCTTACAAGGCAGAGGGTGCTGAATAGCTCTCTGCTGATGGACAAGTTCAAGTGCATTGCATGAAGAAGCTACAGAGAAAAGGACCTTTAAGAAAACTGAATCTTGCCCGGCTGGTGTGGCTCAGTGATTGAGCATTGACCCATGAACCAAGAAGTCACTGGTTCAATTCCCAGTCAGGGTACATGCCCCAGGGGTTGCGGGCTTGATCCCCAGCAGGGGGCATGCAGGAGGCAGCCGATTGATGATGTTTCTCTCTTATCAATGTTTATTTCTCTATATCCCTCTCCCTTCCTCTCTAGAAATCAATTTTTAAAAAAGAAAACAAAACCTTTCCTTTTTTTTTTGGTATCTTGAGGAAGAGGACTGTTTATAAAGAGCAAACGATTAAGAGCGAGCGACATTCAAAATCTTTCTCAGCAAAATGTCAGTTTTGTTAAGAAAAACAGAAAAACAAGAGTATTTTGGAAAAGGGAGATTTATTGCCAATCACAAGACCAATTTCCAAAAGCTCCATGTGGCGAGCAATATTGTCACTTAGTCATCCAATAGGTGGGCATAGTTCTCTAGGATCTGTATTATTCAAAATATAACTTAGCCATGGGCACTCAAAGCCAGACGCGATCTTAGTGATCACATAAGCCAGGGCTTGCATTTGGCTGATTTTGAAAACAAAGTCCAGCTAAGAAGGGATTTTGGACAGGGCCAGGTGGCAAACGAGGGCAGAGCCAGAAGCAGCATCCAGCTTGCCTGGCTCTCGGCACTGTGACTTCGCAGGTGCCCCGGGCTCTGTTTGCCTTGTGTAGGACTTGCGTGCATTCTCCTACCTGGAAAAGGAACAGGCCACTTCCTGTTTGCATTTCTTGTCCATAGGAGGATCAGGCAGTGATAGGTACCCAGTCAGCATCACCCGATGTCAGCGTTTTCTGGAAGCGACTCCTTGGTAGTGACTTTCTCTATGACACGGACCTTTTTTACAATGAGCTCCGATGGCTCCTGTATTCTTTACTGAGACAGAAAACAAGCAGCTCCCTTTGGAGAGAAGATGGTGGTAGCTGTCATAAGGAGAAGCTACAGGGAAAAGATCATTAAGAAAACGGAATATTTCTCTCTTTTTTTTTTGTATCTGGTTCTTCCTGCAGCTTGGCAACACCTTACATTGTTCATTTCATCCCCAGTGTAGTCCTCCTTCCTCTTCAGTCCCGGCTCTCTGAGTAGCGTGGTGCTCTTTTTGAATAACAGCAATTTAAAAGATGCTGGCTCCATGTACTTTTCACAAAAAGTGCAGAAAAGAACCATCTGGGGTTGTAGAGATTGGGTAGGAAAATTATCTTCTGGTTTTAAAAAGTCAAAAACCAAAACACAACACAAATGCCTCACAGGCAAAAATGTCTATCTCCACTCGGGAGCTCCCTAGATGAAGAACTCAGTCAGGCAGGGGCCAGATCAGTCTTGCTCTGGCCACTAGATTCTAATATTGGACAATGAGAACGACGCACCCAGCCTTGCCTTCGTTGACTGGAGTGCTAGAAACTCGAGACTAACATTTTGTTCTCAATGTCCATGCCTTCTCCCAGCCAGTGTGTCTAAGAATAATGTGATGATCACTCCATTTTGCTTTACACTTGCGATCAAGGGTTTGAATTTTCTCTTTCCTATGCTTTATTTTCGGCTGCCAGCAATCATTGTTGCCATTAGTCAATATTTTAGAATTAAGTACAATAAGTTGATAGGTGATCAAGGAATTTATTGTATGAATTTAAAGAGAAAACAAGGACGGAGTAGACTGTGATGCCATAGCTCTGGTCTTCCCACCTGCACATTCTCACCCTTCCCCTCGAGAAAACTCCTCTGCCCTTCTCTTTGATATTGGTGGGACTGTCAATCATCCTGCCCAGTTCCCTCCACAGGGGTTGGCACGTGAGCACTGGTTGAGCATTAAAAGTACCCCCATGCCCCTGGCTCCCCTGATTTGTCCAGAGATAAGTGAGAGACCCAAGCAGAACCAATCCTAGTATTCCCTGGATGGCTATTTGCATACAGGCAGGGGAAATGTTTCTTCCTGCTGGAAGTTATACATCTGGGGCTGCCAGCAGTCATGTCCCTCCTATCTGGAGGTGGATTATGACTCATGGAGCCAAGCAGAGATAAGTGGAGTGGACACAGAGAGAAAGGGAGAAAGCAAATCCTGATGTTTTCACGTAGGTTCTTGGACCCTAACTTATTTGGAACGAAACAGAAGGGGGTGGCCCTGTCGATGCTTGAGCTTCTTGACTTGTTTGAGCCTAAAACTTGACATCTCCAAAGGTTTCCAATAAATTCTATTGTCCAGATAATCTGAGTTGGGTTTTATACTTGCAGATGAAGATTTTTTTCCTGAATAATAGAAGAAGGCAGCATGAATTCACTTAGTGGATTAATCAAAGGAATCTTGTCTTCAAGTGAAACCTTGCATGAAGTCCCAGTATAGAAAGAGACAAAATGGCACATGTGTAGCTGGTTGGGAATGGGTGAGGAGAGGTGTGGAACACAGCTTGATCTCCTTAGCAGCTTCACAGTAGACTTGAGGCATCTCCAAGGGGCCCTAGTGCTTCAGGTAACCAGTTTCAGGACAACCTGAGATGTGTCCACTCTAGAGCTCCCTAGATTATGAACTCAGTGAGGCAGGGGCCATAGCTGTCTTTTCTCTTTCCTACCCTAGTGCCTAACAGGGTGCCTGGGGAGTAAGGGCACCATTTTTACACAGAACGGATGATGGAGTTATTTTCTATTTGTATCTCCTTAACTAGGTGTCGCATTCCCTTTCTTAACTAGGAATTTCTTCCACAGCTGCTGAGAGGTCGAATTGGAGCACAATGTGTATGATTTCTAACACGGTTTCCTTCCCACCCATTTCCTCCACAACTCTGTAGATGTCTGCTGCATTTGCGCAATGACACCCAGGCCTTGGAATCAGGAGACCTGTATTTTAGGCCCAGGGCCACTGCAGGGTGACTTTACGCAAGCCCCTCTCTTGTTTGGGCCTCCATGTCCTTGCTGGTAAAATGAGGAGGCTGAGCTGGAGGAGCCTTGAGATCCGTCCAAGTCTACCATTCCATGGCTCAGTATAGAGCAGGATATTGATGACTCACTTAGCAGGATAAACAAGTTCTCCCAATGTGCAGTCTGCTAAAGTAATGAGCAATGAGCGGAACTCTTTCTAAACAGAAAAAAATTTTCACACCAGGCAGAGTCCAAAACCTCTGAGGGTTAAGTGAGGGGAACTATAATACTAAGCAGATGAATCCTCTAAAATAATATTGCAACACCTCCTGGCATTCCTCTCCCTGTTTCCATAGGGTCTCTCCTGAGTGATCGAACGGCTCTGCATGGGGACACCTGAGGTCACCTCCAGTCCTGGCCTGGCCCCAGCCAGCCCAGAGCACCCTTCGCGTAGGGCTGCAGGAAGGTCTCTTGGGTACACGGAATGTATGGACTCTCTCGCAAAGGCCTCCCAGGGACACCAGGGGCTCATTAGCTGCCAGCTGGGTAACTATGATTCCTTTCTCTTTCTTCTAAGCAAATGTTTGTCCCAAAGATTCTTAGGATTCATAGGAAGGAAATTAATATAGAGAGACCGAAACTTAATATAGGCCACCCAATAAGAATAAGAAGACATCGCCCTAACCGGTTTGGCTCAGTGGATAGAGCGTCGGCCTGCGGACTGAAGGGTGCCAGGTTCGATTCCGGTCAAGGGCATGTACCTTGGTTGTGGGCACATCCCAGTAGGGGGTGTGCAGGAGGCAGCTGATCCATGTTTCTCTCTCATTGATGTTTCTAACTATCCTCTCCCTTCCTCTCTGTAAAAAAAAAAAAAAATCAATAAGATATATTTTTAAAAAATAAATAAGAAGAAGACATCATTGCACCACTGAAATCTACTAACCTGTGTAAATATCACACAGACATGAGGTGGTCAATATCCCCAGTTACAGGTGAAGGCAATGAAACACAGAAACTGAGGAACGTAGACAATATCATTCCACTTCACAGAAGCAGAGCCGCAGTTCAAACCAAGAGCATCTCCCTCTGTCCCTATGTTTTCAGCCCTCTTCTGCCGCTGCCATGTGTGGCTATGTTCTCCTTTCGTCAATGTGAGAAAATAAGCGTTTGCAAAGCAGGATGAAACTCTGTTCTTTTTAACTGATACAGTCCTGGCAACGTAAACTGCGAGTCTAGGTGAGAGCAGGTCACTGTGCTGGATTTGGGGCCCAGAAAGACAAATGGCCCAAGTGGACAAAGCTATACTTAACTACCTGAGCTGAGGGGGTGGGTGGGAATTTGTCCCCAACCTTCCTGCATGGGACAGCCCCGGGCTGTGCCCCTGGCTTGTTCTGTTGTAACAGGAGCATCCCCAGTATTAGAGACTGGGGCCCAGCTCTCAGCAAACCCAGTAACGAGAGTCATTCATAAATTTTCATCCTAGGAAATCAATCAAGACTCCAATCTGTAGGCATCTCTCCAGAATCTTTCTAGACAGCCTCGGTGCCCATGAAACTGTCTCCCTTCATGGAGCTTTGTAGTTTCCTGAAGGTCGTGCCACCCATTTCAATGCCAAACACACACCTTCCGGGACCCTGGAGGAACTGGACCATGTATTCAGGAACTATTTGTATCTGTGTCTGTGACCAAATCGATCCTGAAAACACCGCTGGTCATATCTCTGTATACAACTCACACCACCAGAGGAAACAATATTTTCTGAGCTTGATGACAGAAAAAGTGTGCTTTTGCTAATTAATGAATAATTTGTATTTACTCAGACGCAGTGTATTTCATAATCAGTTGTGTTTAGCTGTGGGCAGTGGCAGCCGGAAACATACCATAGACTCGTACCAATGGGCCTTCTGATCAGTCTACCTAAGATTACTCACCCACCACTTGGCCTCACAAATTGTTACACATTCTTCAGGACTCAATCCGTCTACACTGTTTTTCAGAGAGTCCTTCTTTACCGCCCCCACGGCTGGATCCATGGCCCCACAGCTCCTGATGCCGGTGTCTGTCACAGAAGTCCTCCAAGAGCACGTGATGGGCTCCTTTCTTGTCAGCTTCCCCCATTGTCACCTGAGTTCCTCATGGGCAGGACTATGAGTCCTTACGTCTGGATGTCCTCAACAATGAGCGTGTAGAAAATATTATCAGGAATATTTGCTGATCTAATGTCTGATTGAATAAACACATAAAGGAAGCAAGGAGGGAGAAAGGGCAAGAGGGACTGAGGAAATAGAGAGAGAGGGAGTTTAGAACTGAATGTATGTTAAATTTTAAAGATGATCACCCCAGATTGTTAAGCTATTTACTTTTCTTCCTTTATCTGTTTGTCCTTTGGTCTCTATCCTTAAAGTGGTATATAATTATGTTATCAAGGAAGAAGTAAAGTGACCTAAGTCAGTGTATCCTATATAATAAAAGGGCAATATGTAAATTGACCCTAACAGCAGAACGACCACTCGACCAGTCACTATGAGACGCACAGACAACCTCTTGGTCCCTTTCCCCTGCTGGCAGGCTCCGATCGCCCAATGGTGAACGGGGAACCAAGGGTGGGTGGCGGGTGGCACCAGGCCAAGGCCCCAACCCCACCAGTGGCCCCATACACAGAGGGCATCCCATGGTGGGGGTGGGGCCGGAGAGCGGGCAGAATGGCCGACCTCTGAGTTACTCCCCCTGGCCAGCAGGCTCCGATCACCCGATGTCGAATGGGGAACTGGACGGGGTGGGGGGGTGGCGACGGGCCGGGGGAGGTGGGGGAGGGCCGGCTGTGGGCAGCCAGGGAAGATGGCCCTGATTTCAGGCCAGGCCTAGGGACGTGTGCCTGGCCTCTAGTAAATATATATGAGATCTTTGTGGGATGACTTGGCTGTCATACAAGTGACAATTTTGCTAACCCAGATCTCACCACAGCAGCAGAATCACGTGGAAGTGAATTGTTGGGAGGTAAACAGGCCACAGGGAAACTGAGTCAATCACCTTTATGGGTCAGAACTGCCACCCGTGTCTTAGATCAGAGTTGCAACTTCCAGGCCCTGGCCCTGTGAAAGGCACCTGTGAGCTGGTAGGAAGGTGGATGCCCTTGAGACCGTCCCCCGGGGCAGTCCGCAACCAGGCAGTGCAAACTGCCTGGCAAGGCCAGGCCCCTGTCAGCCTGCCCCACGAGCTGCCCCACGCGCTGCCCCTGGTGTCTGCAGTTTCCACACCCTCCCCCTGACCCCCAGGCTAGCTTTCCCAACAGAGTATTTCAGAAATCAGCAGAACAGTTGTCAATATTCTGATGCTGTAAAGCACACCTGGGTTTGGAGAGTCTAAGGATTTTGGCCAAATTCACATATTGAAAGAGTAGCAGCATTTGAAGCATGAGCCATGCTTTTCTCACTTCTCATGCATCACACTGCCTTCTAATTGCCAAGGGTCACTGACATCTCCCGGGAATCCACACCAGTCCAGAGCCCAGTGGTCTGCTCTGGTGAGCTGGACTCACTGAGGGTTCCCCACCGGCAAGGGTCAGAATCACATTTGAGGTGCATACTATGTGTGGGGCTTGAAAAAGTATGTTTAGTAACATAGCAAGTGTATACTTAGAAAACAAGAGATATGCATCCTAAAAAATATATAACTGCAGAAGACACCGTTTAACAAAAGTCTCCTCATTATGAAAAGAAGCTGAAGATAAACTCTTAGGACAAATATCAGCAAGTCCAAAGGGTGGGGGCAAGGACGGCCAAGCTCATCCCAGGAACCCCTGTTGTCCTGGCGGAGATTCATGCAGCAGGAGCAGCCTCAGAGGCACCCCAGGCTGAACAGTCTCAGGCCACCAGTCTACATACCTCGGTAAATTGCATGTTGACCCTGGTGCAATCATATAAAAAATCTCCCTGCCCTAACTGGTTTGGCTCAGTGGATAGAGTGTCGGCCTGCAGACTAAAGGGTGCCGGGTTTGGTTCCAGTCAGAGGCACATGCCCCAGTTGCGGGCTCGATCCTCAGTAGGGGGCGTGCAGGAGGCAGCCGATCAATGATTCTCTCTCATCATTGATGTTTCTCTCTCTCTCTCTCCCCCTCCCTTCCTCTCTGAAATCAATAAAAATATATTTTTAAAAATCTCCCTCATTGCCCTAGCCGGGTTGGCTCAGTGGATGGAGTGTTGGCCTGCGGACTGAGGGGTCCCGGGTTCAATTCCGGCCAGGGGCACATGCCCGGGTTGCGAGCTCGATCCCCAGTAGGGATGTGAAGGAGGCAGCCAATCGGTGGTTCTCTCTTATCATTGATGTTTCTGTCTCTCTCTCCCTCTTCCTTCCTCTCTGAAATCAATAAAGAAATATATTTTTAAAAAAATCTCCCTCAGATGAAGACAAATTTTGCATTACTCTCCAGAATAGCATCTCTGGCTAAAAGGCATCAAGAAGCACTGGCTTTGCAAAGAAACAACAGTCTATTAAACCTGGTTCAAGAATAAACACAGCATAATGCCTGCAAGAGCCCGTATATTCCAGGTTTCCATCTCTTAAATGGTAGGAAGAGTTGAGACAGTCCAGTCAGATCATGGCTGCTCTTCATATTTACAGCTCTGAGCACCACCCTCTGCCAGCTGCATTCAATATGCTAAAAATGGCAGATCCTCCTATGTAATGAAGATGACTGTGGCCATTTTTAGAAAGGATGCCTTCCCCAGTGCACCAGTTGTTTTTGCTTTTCCTCCCTGAATGTCCTCCCCACCCCTTGGCATAAACATCTCAGCCACGACATTCATGCCCAACTCCTGTGTTCTGAAAAACGGTGAGACGAAGTTCCCTGGTCTGCCCGGAGACGTCTCTAGTCCATCTTCATTCGTTCAACACATGTTTCCTGAGCCCTGACTCTGTGCCAGGGCAGTGAGGGCCGTTAAACTAGAGAGAGGACTTAGACTGCACCCTGCCCTCAGGGAGACCACAGCCCAGAGGTGGAGCAGAGCCCCTGTTGGAGGTCACAGTTCAAGAAAAACTTTCTGGAAGAGGTGACCCCAGAGCTGTGTCTTGAAGAACAATGTTGTAAGAACAGCTACTAGGTTTCTATCTGCCCCTGACCTTTCATGTCCTTCTCCACATGATTCAGGACCAGTTTCATAGAGTCTTCATTGTCTTTAACATACAAGTAGAAAAACACTGAAGATAGAACCTAAACCAAAACCTAACTCTAACCCTAATCCTAGCCCTAACTCTAACCCTAGCCCTAACCCTAAACTTAGCCCTAACCATAGCCCTAGCTCTAGCACTAACCCTAACCCTAATCTTAACCCTAGCCCTAACCCTAACCCTACCCCTCACCCTAGCCCTAAACTTAACCCTAACCCTAAGCCTACCCTAACTATAACTCACATCCTAACCCTAACCCAACCTTAACCCTAACACTAACCCAACCCTAACCCTAACCCTATCCCTAGCCCTAAACCTAACCCTAGCCCTAACCCTAACCCTAACACTAGCACTAAACCTAGCCCTAACCCTAACCCTAACCCTAACCCTAACCCTAGCACTAACCCTAACCCTAATCTTAGCCCTAGCCCTAACCCTAACCCTAGCCCTAACCCTAACCCTAATCCTAGCTCTAGCACTAACCCTAACCCTAATCTTAGCCCTAGCCCTAACCCTAACCCTAGCCCTAAACCTAACCCTAGCCATAACCTTAAACCTAACCTTGTGCCCTAACCCTAACCCTAACCCTCTGTCCTCTGCCCAGAGTCCAAAGCAGCAGCCCGGCCATCAGGGCTCTAATGAGGACGGTGAGGATTCGCTAGGCTCTAAGAAGGACAGTCTGTCTCACCTCTCAGGTCCCATCCTCCCTTGGTCTGAGCCAACACTCACCCACACCCAAGTGCCCGGTGGGAGGTGACCTCGAGCCCCCTGCAGCCGCTCCAGCCTTCCCAGGCACCGGTGTTTTCTTTCTTTCTTTTTCTTTTTCTTTTTTTATATTTTATTGACTTTTTACAGAGAGGAAGGGAGAGGGATAGAGAGTTAGAAACATCGATGGGAGAGAAACATCTATAAGCTTCCTCCTGCACACTCCCTACTGGGGTTGTGCCCTTGACCAGAATCGAACCTGGGACCTTTCAATCCACAGGCCGACACTCTATCCACTGAGCCAAACTGGTTAGGACTGCACTGGTGTTTTTAATGATTCCCCATGACCTGCTCCTCACCTACCTCAAAACCACCTGGGTAGGTGTTTAAAACCCACTTTCTAAGGCACCACTCCGATTTCCTTGGAGGTCAGCATGGAGTCCATCCACCAGGTGAGGACCAGACACCCAGGGCAGGCTAAGCTGACCACAGTCCTAAACCCCTCAAATCAAAACAGTTACAGCCCTCAACCTCTTCAACACCATTCATCCTGCTGGACCATCTCTGAGCCCCTCCGCTGAGAGGTTGAGCTCCTTGTGCCTTAACCATATCGCTAACACTAACACTACCCTCGACCTAATGCTAAACCTACCCTAATGCTAACCGTATCCCCAGCCCTAACCCTAAACCTAAATGTAGCCTTAGTCCTAACCCTAACCCTATCCCTAATGCAAGCCCTTGAACTAACCTTAACACTAACCCTAGCCCTAGCTCTAACCCTAACCCTAACTCTAGACCTAACCCTACCCTAGCCCTAAACTTAACCATAATCCTAACCCTAGCCCTAACCCTAGCCCTAATGCAAGCCCTAGTCCTAACCGTAACCCTAACCCTAGCCCTAACCGTAACCCTAACCCTAGCCCTAACCCTAACCCTAACCTTAACCCTAGCCCTAACCCTAGCCCTAACGCAAGCCCTAGCCCTAACCGTAACCCTAACCCTAGTCCTAACCCTGACCCTGACCCTGACCCTAACTTAAGCTTAAGATATGTGTTCATTTCTATGACGACTAAGGAGCTTATCTCTTTTCATTCCTTTCCTTGCCCTAAGTCTGGTTTAGCTAGGTACCTGGTAAACATTTTACTAAGCATTAATGGTCCTCCGCCTTGGCTCAGGCCCCTTTCCTTGGGAAAATATGTTAATCAGAGTCCAAGATCTAGCCTTGTATGGCCAATCTCTTCATCTCCTATCCTTGCTTCCCAGGGCGCTGTAAGAACAGTGGTGCTGGCAGCAGAAGATACATATCAGCAATACTCAGGAGGTGGGTGGGTCTCCTCCTCCCGCATCCCTTCCAGACCCCTCCCTGGGAAGTCCTCCCGGGCCCCCTTCCCAGCTTCCTCTTGGGCCCCAGGCCTGGGACTCACGGGGAGGGGGGCGGGCATAGGGGCGGGGGGATCTGGAGCTCTGTCTTCCTGCCAGGCCCCGTAGATCTCCACTGCCTTCCCAGAAAAGGGAACGCTGGCCGAAGGATGTCACCCATTGTTTCTTCTTCCCAAGGCGGCTTGTTCCAGGGAGGAT